CCCACACTCACTTGGTCACCTTTCTCTCCAAGTCCCTGATCTGGATCATGTACAGCTCCTTCCCCGAGAAGGTCAGCTCCGGCTTGTCGTCGGGCGGGATCCGTCCGCCGGCCTTCTCTTTCTTCTTGGCCGGCATGTTCGCCCCACTGCCGCCGGTGCCGCTCTGCCTCGCCGCTCGCCGATTGCTAGGAGACGCCGGGCCATAGCAACCGGATAATCCCGGGGCGCGTGCGCACGGGGGCTCGCCCAACCCGCCCAGGGAAAGGGGCGGTGCCGCAGAACCCTCGCGAGACCTCATCCGTGAGCACGTGGTCTTGAAGGTCCCAGGCCACGTGCCTCTCTACCCAAAAGGATACATTTGTTGGAATTGTATTCCCCCCCCAGGGTAAAGGTAAGGGTTTTTATTTTGCTGGAATTGTATTTCCCCCCCAGGGTAAACGTAAGGGTTTTTATTTTGTTGGAATTGTATTTCCCCCCCAGGGGTAAACGTAAGGGTTTTTATTTTAAAATCTTGTTAAGCAGAGTGTTGAAAGGTTAGCTTCCCTGGCCAATTTAGAATTTCCTCTTCAGGGAGGAGAGAGGAACCTCATGCTTGACCAACCTTCGCTCGTCAAGCGCACCTCAATTCATTTGGATTATTGTTCACTTAAGCATTAAGGGCTATGGAGCAAAAGCAACCATATGGCATTAGCCATGATCAACTTTAGGGTTGGGTTGGAATGCGGATTTAAGGTTAGAAACATAGAATTTGTACAGTGTGGAAGCAGGTCATTCAGCCCATCAAGTCCACACCAACCCTCCGAAGAGTATCCCCGCTCCCCATCCACCCACCCTGTAAGCCTGCATTTCTCATGGCTAATCCACCGAGCCTACATATCACTGGACAATATGGGCAATTTAGCATGGCCAGTTCATCTAACCCACATCTTTGAACTGTGGGAGGAAACTGGAGCACTTAGAGGAAATCACACAGACACAGGGAGAATGTGCAAACTGCACACAATCGCCCAAGGCTGGAGTCGAACCCAGGTCCCTGGTGCTGTGAGGCAGCAGTGCTAACCACCGAGCCACAGTGTCATCCTAAAAGAATTTAAAACACCAAAAAAACAGATCAGCCATGATCTTATTGAATGGCAGAACAGGCTTGAGGGGCTGTATGGCCAAGTCCCACTCCTGATTTGTATGTGTTAATGTTACACAACTGTTAGTATGTTCTTCTGAGGACATACCTTTATATGGGGGAGTACCTGTATTCTTTCAATGACATAGTCAGTGAATTGTATGAAGTTATTTGGACTAGAAATAACTAGATTCAGTTCCCCTAATCCAGAGGCAAATGATGCAAGTTGGAGTTTACAACTGACCATGGTGCCCAAGTTTGATGTCACATAGTCATTGGATCTCAAATGATCTCAGCTTCTAAGTATTTCAACGTTCCTGGGGCCATGTTTCAACATAAATCATCTTCTATGTAAAAGAAGAGCCTTTATCTTGGAAATCCAGCAGATATATGGGATCACCACTAGCTGCAAGTGCCCCTCCAAGCCAATCATCATCCTGACTAGAAAATATATTGCCTTTCCTTCATGGTAACTAGGTGAAAATTCCTGAACTCCCTCATTGAAATACCATGATATAATCCTACACCAAATGGACTGCAATGGTTGAAAAAGGCAGCTCACCACTACCTTCTCAATGGCAATTAAGGATGAGCTATAAATTCTGGCCCATCCAGTGAACCCCAAATCCCAATTTTAAATTGAATGTTGATTTCACTCTTTGTGCACCTTCTCTGAAGCTGTAACATTGTATTCTTTGCTCTGTTTTATTACCATAATGCACTTTGTGTGGTATGATCTGCCTGTACTACATGCAAAACAAAACTTTTTATTGTACTTAGGTACATGTGACAAAAATAATTCAAATCAAATCAATTTATCTAATGTCTTCACCGAATCCAGTATGTATTTTAGAATCCAGACTCTTGATGTCAACTTAAACCTCAGGAACTCAAGTACGTAATAGTCATTTCTGCAGATTCTGTCATTTTAATAAAAACAAGTTGTATCTTTCACCAGACTGACTGTATTTTCAGAAGAATTAGGGAGTCTGCTCCATGATGACACTGTACCTGCTTTGCTTAACATGGTCTTTGGATTTTTTGAAATAAATTGTACTTTGAAATGTTAAGAATCACGTGCACATATGCTTGAAGGTGTGTAATAACATCTCTGAACAGTTGATTAAAAACATCTAGTATTTATGTAAGTACAGAGGCTATTTAGTTGATGTAGTGTTTATCCTCCATACAACTGTTTTATAAACCTCTGTTTAACTACTGACACACCCTTTTGACGTGACATCTTGACATGATGAAAGGTAGTCTATAAATAAAGTGTTTTCCTTTCTCCTGAACATGTCACCTGGCTGAACATCTGCTTTGGCTCAATGTTAGATTTTTAACTGGTAATGCGCCAGTGATTAATGGTGCTATATAAATGCAAGATGTTGTTTTAGTCTAGTACAATATTTAACCATCATTGGAATTCCTCAGGGACTTGACTTTATTTACAGTGAGAATAAAATGCAACATTCTCCAGGATACAAGGGAAGGAGTGAAAATGGAGGGGTTGAAAAAAGACACAGGGCCATTGAATTTATGAGACTTTTATAAAACTCAGACCAGCTGAACAGTGAAAAAGTGTGGTGAAGAAGATATTAATCCATAATACGTAATGAACCCAATTCCAAAGAAATGCATGTCAAACATTTTCACAGGTTTATGGTGAAATTCAGTACACACAGAACTGTAACTCCAATACAAAACTGAGTGCACCAACGTCTCCATAACAACAGTATCTCTGAACGTCCCCTTAAGCACTTTGAACAGTGATAGCAGCTGATGATTGTCTATTTATTAACAGATCTCAATGATTCACTGAGACCATGTTCCAATGTATGCTGCAGCTGTTGAGAACTCTACACCAGGAGAGCAGGAGGAGAAGCATTTACCTGATAATCCAGGTTCAAAAAGGCACAGTTGAGACCAGGAGCACAACTCGTTTGTTAGATCCTGATGAGGAAGGTCACTTTGAGGCATTCTAGTTCATGCAGCTAGAGAAGCATTACAGGCCCTCCACCCACCCTCCGCTCTGCATCTTCCCATCCCAGCACCAGCAATTCCTTCAATGATTCTGGTCGCCACTCCCAGCTTTCTATGAAGGTGAATTTCTTGCCATCAGTCCTTAATTTGTCTAAATTCAATGTTACCTTGGGCTAATATTTCAATTACAACCCTTTCTTCTTATTATATTACACCCTGTATTGATGCCTCTTCCTAAGTGTTTCTGCTGTCTTTGAATTCAATTCCTTATTCCCCAAAGATTTAACAAGGAGAGAGATAAGAAAGTTGAATTTAAACAAATCATAGAATCCCTACAGTGCGGAAAGAGGTTGTTCGACCTATTGAGTTTGCATAACCCTCCGACAGCATCCCACCTAAACCCTGCCCGCTACCCCATCACCACAATCCTGCACTTACCACGGCTAATCCACCTAACCTGCACATCCCTGGATGGCCAGGGATTGGCATGGCCAATCCATCTAACCTCTACACCTTTGGACTGTGGAAGGAAACCAGTGCACCTGGAGAAAACCCACGCAGAAACGGGGAGAACATGCTAACTGCACATAGACAGTCATCCAAGGCTGGAATCGAATTCGGGTCCCTGGCGCTCTGAGGTAGCAGTGCTAACCACTTAACCACCATGCCATCCACATGTGGTTGGGTTTAGAATACAAAATGGCTGAAAAAAAGTGAAAAATGAATGTTTGAAAGGCTCTGTTAGAAAATGATCAGTAAAACGTTTCCTCTTCTGTCTGTAAATGTAGGCCAAGAACCAGTTAATTATTTTACCAAACTATTGTAACATCATTCTTGAGCTGCTCACTCCCTAGTTCGAGGCCAAGCATCCAACAGAGATAACAGGTGACAATCTAAATTTAGTTGTATTTGGAATTAATTCCCCCAATTCTTGAATTTTATTCCCTGCACCAATAGTAAGGCAACATCTGGGGTCTAGTGGGCATGAACCCTCTAATATCTTGGCCATGGATTATTGATAAAGCCAAGTGTACATGCAATGTGTTATTGGTTCATAAGAGCCCATTCTGCACTGTTTGTGTGGGCCAATCTCACCCACTCCCTAGCAAGGCAGGAGGTAACATAGTGGTAACATGTGATTGGACTTGTAATCCAGAGGCCACCTGTAATGCTCTGCCCATCAATGGCAATTGGGGGGAATTTAAATTCATAACTACATCTGGAATAAGTTCTAATCATTAATAAAAATAATAATTTGGGGTCAGAATCCTGCATCTCCCTCCTAATAGCACCGTTGGTGTAGCCCTTCCCTCCCTCCTCTTCCCCCACAAGTGTTTAAAACAATGGCTCACCACCTTCTCCAGGTCAATAAATGCTGGTCTCAACAGTGATGCCTACATCCCATGAATGATTTTAAAGAAAAAAATCACAGAACCGATGGATTGTCATGTGGTTCACTAATGGCCTTTAGGGAAGGAAATTACCAAGTCTGGCATACATGTGACTCCAGGCCCACGATGATGTGATCGACCCTTAATTGGCAGCTGAAATAGCTGAGCAAGCCATTCATTAGGGATAAGCAATCAAGGTGACATTGTTAGTGCGGTGCACATCCCAATATTGAATTAAAGAAAAAGACTATTTTGAGATGGATGAACTGACCCTGAACTCACCCAGTGAATTGCAAATGCCTGCTTACAGGCAGGGCTCAATGGATCTTCGGTCAGGAGTTCAGCATTAATTTCTTTTTCTTGCCTTTAGCAGAGGGCCTCTGTCCTAGCTCAGTTTTACACTGCAACCAACAGCTGAGATCAGCCAAAACAACAAAGACTGGCTGTTAGATCTGGGCCCTCTAATCAGTAGGGCCTTACAGGAGATAGTTACACACATAAGGCTCTTGAGGTTCACGGAGTGCGAGGACACATTTATTCAAGAGGAATGGTCACCAATATCTTTCAGCATCTTTTCCCCTTGTGTTGCCCGTGAGGTTTCATTTCCATAGCATTATACAGTGCAATACAAGGCTATGCCATCTATGATGATGTCCTCAAATTTTAGTTTCTCCCTTTCTCTCAGCACCCAGTCTCAACTCCTCCACCTCAGCAGTGAACAGCCACCTCATCAGTGCTGCCTGGCAGAAATAACCTCTCAGGGCAGCTGGGCTTTGGGGTCAGAAGAAAGACCGGATGGCGATCCTGAAGAAAGGCTCATTCAGAGTCATTCTCTATCCTAAACTACGACATTGGTGGGTCAAGGAGGTGGATTAGTGGGGGAGGTGGTCCTGAAAATTTGGCTTGCTAGACACACATCTTTCTTCATATTGTTGGTGAGTTGGGTTCAAGATTACGCTGCTAGGATGCACCTGTCTTTAGTGCTGGGCAACAATTCCATGTTTCACACATGTATGTCAAGTGCTGAAAGGGCCTGAACAACTTTTCTTGTCGTACAGTTTCATCTCTTCAGCTGTGTGGCCTTTGTCTGAAAGATGAGCTTCGGTTAAAGTTTGCAACATTGCAGCTGAGCAATCTTCATTCAAGCTTTGACAGGTCTGTCCATCCAAATCGTCGTCTTCTGCAGAAAGTCAACTTTCTGAAAACTGAGAAAGTAAAATGAAATTAAAAGTAAATTATTGGAGCTACTGGCTGACAAGTGCTGGGGTCCTGATCAACATTCTTTCTAATTTTCTTTCCGTCTATGTAGACCTCTGAGGTCTGTGCATGGCAGCAACTTCTCGGACTGAAAATCAATGTCACGATTGTCACGCTGAAGCTGATCTCCAAATGGGAAACCTTGGAGCAGTTGCACACAACTGTGCAGCTTAAAGGAAGCATGGTCCTGATGGATTTCTTCCTACGATCTTGAAGGAAGTGGCTAGTGGGATAATTGATCCATTGGTTTTGATTTTCCAAAACTCCCTTGATTGAGGACACTCCCACTTGGTTGGATGATAGTGAACATAACTCTATTATTCAAAAAGGAAGGACGGCAGAAAGCAGGAAAATATAGCCAGTTTGCTTAATGTCTATCATAGGAAAAATGTTAGAAGCTAACATTAAAGAGTTTATAGCGGGGCACTTGGATAAGTTTGAGGTGATCAGGCAGAGTCAACGTGGTTTGTGAAAGGGAAATCATGATTGACCAATCTATTGGAGTTCTTTAAGAAGGCACCATTTGTTGTGGTTGAAGGGGGAACTGATGGATGAACTGTAATTGGGTTTCCAGAAGGGATTTGATAAGGTGCTGCATCAAAAATTATTGCAGAAAACTAAGGGTCACGGTGTAGGGGATATCACACTGGCAGAAATAGGAGACTGGCTGGCTAACAGGAAACAGATTGTAGGCATTAATTGGCCCTTTTCAAGTTGGCACAATGTAACCAGTAAAGTGCCACAGGGATCTGTGCTGAAACCTCAATTGTTTATAATTTATGTAAATAACTTGGATGAAGGGACAGAAGGTGTAGTTGCCAAATTTGCTGATGACACAAAGATAGATGGGAAAGTAAATTGTCATGAAGACGTAAGGAAGCTACAAATAGATATTGATAGACTAACTGAGGGGACAAATATGTGCCAAATGCTATGTAATGTGGAAAAGTGAAATTGTTCATTTTGGCAGGAAAAATGAAATGAAAACCATCTGATCTAAATGATGAGAAACTTCAGAGCCTGAAAATGCAGAGCGGTCTGTTTGTCCTTGGGTATGAATTACAGCAGTATGGTATGCAGGCACAGCAAACAATTAGGAAAGGTGATTGATTGTTACAACATATCCCTAGAGAAATTGAATACAGAAGTAGTGAGGTTATGCTTGATTTATGCAGGTCACTGGTGAAACTGCATCGACAGCCTTGTGTGCAGTATTAGTCACCTAAATAAGGAAGAATGTAAATGCATTGGAAGCAGTTAATTTAAGGTTTGCTCGACTGATACCTTGATGCGGGGTAGGAAGGGGTTGTTTGGACAGACTAGGCTCATATTTGCTAGAGTTTAGAAGAGGTAGCTTGATGGGAACGTATAAGATCCTGAGGGATTTTTGCAGGGTGGTTTTTATAGTGGGAGAATAGAGAACCAGGAGTCACTGTTTAAAAATCAGGGGTTTAAATCAGAGGTGAGGCAAAATTTTTAGAAGCGTTTTCAGCATAGGGTTGAAAGGTAATCAGTGGTAGGCAGGGATGTGGATTTGAGGTTACAATCAGATCAGCCATGAAAGACAGTGCAGGCTTGAAGGGCAGAATGGCCTGCTGCTAATTCATATGTATATACGTACCTGATCTATTTCAATGGATCCCTACTCCTGGGCTTCGAAAATGTATTGATCTTATATTTAGAATTATTAAATGAGCTAGCAGCTCCTGCTTTTTTGTTAGAGCATACATGCCCAATGTCAACTGGCTTGGAAATCAACAAAGTTGATGGGAATGTGGTACAGAATGGGTTGTTGGCACTATTAAGGAGTGACCTGAAAAGGGACGCCGTGTCTCAGCTGTACGGAAACTGGATGCCGTGTTGTCTACTGTACCAGGCACTATGTTATAATGCAGAGCCAGGCTCTGACAAACAGCTATATCATTTGGATACTGAGGTATTGCACCCTCGGTAGTGTTGTAGAACAGAGAGACCTAGGGGTTCAGGTACATAATTCCTTGAAATTTGTGTCACAGGTAAACAGGATGGTTAAGAATGCATTTGGCACATTTGCCTTCATTGTTCAGACCTTTAAATATAGGAATTGGGACGTCATGTTGAGGTTATATGGGACGTTGGTGAGGCCTCTTCTGGAGTACTGTGTGCAGTTCTGGTCAGCCTGTGATAGGAAGCATGTTATTAAACTGGAGAGCGTTCAGAGAAGATTCACCAGGATGTTGCCAGGAATGGAGGGTTTGAATTTTAAAAACAGGCTGGCTCGGCTGGGACATTTTTTACTGGAGTGTAGGAGGTTGATGGGTGACTTTATAGAGGTTTATAAAATCATGAGGGGCATAGATAAGGTGAATAGCAAAGGTCTTTTCCCTAGGGTGGGGGAGTTCAAAACTAGGGGGCATATCTTTAAGGTGAGAGGAGAAAATGTGTGGAATGAAATGCCAGAGGAATTGGTGGATGCAGGTACAGTTACAATGTTTAGAAGACATTTGGATACATACATGAATAGGAAAGTATTGGAGGGATATGGGCCAAATGCAGGCAAGTGGGACTAGTTTAGTTTGGGAGTATGGTCACCATGGACTAGTTGGATCGAAAGGTCTGTTTCCATGCTGTGTGACTCTATGACTGTGTCGTAATGATTGGATAATCTGTTGATGGAGGTCAAGAGATAATTACAGCATTGACAAAGTGGAGGGGAACTCACTTGCTCATCTATAATGACCTGTTGTGTCCATGTGAGAAGGCAGGTGAGTTCTCTGTTCATTATCTCAGCTGGCATATGGCTCACCTCACAGTGCAGCACCTCCTCAGCACAACACTTGGGAACTGCACCAACTCTTTTATGCTCAAGTCTGTGAAGTGGAATTTGTAGCCACAACCTCCTGACTCAAAAATGGGAGAGCTACCCAACTACAACAGCAGCAGAAATCTCAAACCCTATATGTCAGTGCAGTACCGAGGGAGTGCTGCTCTGTTGCAGGTTGCTGACTTCTGGATAATAAACCAAGCTTCATTTATCCTCTCAGGTGGATGTAAAAGATCCCAATACAATATTTTGAAGAAGATATTGGAACAGAGCAGACAGTTCAGCCCCTCGAGCATGTTCCACCATTCATTGTGATCATGGCTAATCTGTAGAGTGGCTCCATATACCTGCCTTTGGCACAAATCCCTTACCACCTTTGCTAAGCAAAAATGTATCTATCTCAGATTTCAAATTAACAACTGATGCATCATCCATTGCTATTGCATACAAAAGTTCCAAACATCTACCCTTTGTGTGTTGAAGTGCTTCCTAACAACTCTCCTGAACTGTCTGGCCCTAACTGTTAGACAATGTCCCCTAGTTCTAGAATCCTGTCTTTCCTGTTAATATCTTGAAGACTTCAATCAGCTCACCCCTTAACCTTCTAAATCCTAGAGCAGGGGGGTTAACCCTGGTACCTGACCAATATTTATCCCTCAAGCAATAACACAAAAATATATTATCTAGTTATTGCTGCATTGTTGTTTGTAGGAATTTGTTGTGAGTAAATTGGCTGCTGCATTTCTTACATTCCAACAGTGACTACATTTCAAAGTCTATTATTAAGGGAGCTTTAACAATGCCCTTGGAAAAGCATAGTATAATTTTAAAAAATGTCAACATGGGAAGGAAAACTTTATTTGGCAAATTTATTAGAATTCTTTGAGGTTGTAATAGTAAGATAGATAAAGGAAAACAATCGATGTAGCATATCTGAATTTCCAAAAAATGTTCAAATAAGATTTCACACAAAAACCTAATTGGCAAGCTAAATGTTCATAGATTTCCTTTTTTTTTGGGGGGGGGAGTGGGGAGCGGGCGGGGGCAATTTATTACCATGAATTAGGATTTGCTAATCAACAGGATGCAGCAAGTGGACATACACAGGAGATTTTTCAAATTGGCAGCATGTGACTAGCAGAGTTTCATAAGGACTAGTGCCAGAGCTTCAGCTATTTGCAATATAAATGAGTGACTTGGATGAAGAGACAAGCAACCAGCACTCAAAATGCATTGGGGCAGTGGTCACAAATGCGTAGGAAAATTCAATCGCTGGCACGACCAATCAGACAGAAGTCTCTCTCCCAAGCAGCATGGACAGAATCGGTGAGGCCATCAGCAGAGAACGCAGCAGTCAGAATGTGAACGTGGCAATGAGCAAGGGTGGAGAAAGCAGGCTCACTGTGGCAGGAAGTAGAGGTAAATGGGAAGCCAGGCTAGTGAGGCCAGGATGCAGGGAGCAAGGCTGGGTTCCAGGGTGAGGAAGAGAGTCTGGGGCTGCAAAGGAGAATGAGAGTCTGCGATAAAGAGTGAGCAAATTCAAAGAGGGTAAGGGTCTGCAAAGTAGGGGGAGGGGATGGCAATGGGGGATATGGGTTGCAAAGTTGAGTGAGAAAAACAAAGGAATATTCAGCTAATTGGGATCCAGGAAAATTGAAGTAATAAATTTCTTGCAAATGAATGTGGAGTCTCTAGCTTAAGGGGTTCAGAAGCTATGATACGTGAGGAAAAATGTAGTGGATGCTCATGCAGTGAACACTGTGTCAGTCGGATAATATAACATTGAACGGTTTTATTTCATACAAATTTGTATTTATGCATTAAACATCTTGAAGTGTCTCTTACACTGTAAGCATATTCTTGAGGTACAGTGATGCTGATAGAGACAGTATATAATTACTTATCTGTGATCGCACCAGTCCACAGGAAGCCTGTTTAGGCTGATGGCTTTTTGTGTATAAAGTCTGTGTCAGTTTTTTTTTATTGAAATGGTGGAGCAGGCTCAATCAGCCAAATAATCCACTCTTGTTCTTATTTCTTGTGTTCAGAGACTGCAGGATTTTTTTTTTCAGGAGACTTATAGGTATTAACATATATGTTCTCAGAGAGTTTGGGATGATGCAAAGAGCTGGGCTCAACGCCAGGAACTTCCTGGCAATGCAGGATGTCATCTTGCCTGCAACGCGTGGTAGGATAAGGCAGGATTGTCAGCCTTCCTGATTACAGCTGGGACCCCCTCATTATGGTTCAAAATAATATAGTTCAGCAATTCACTTTCTGAGAATAGATATGGATCCACCTATTACAGGAATAGATCATTTAATGTGACTTTAGAAATATGGGCCTGTTTCATGCTTCTAAAATGATGGTAAACATTTGAGCTCATGTGTCATAAAATAACAAAACACCAACTTTGCCAGGTTGGCAGTGCCAGTGGTGAGAATTTGTTGGTCACAGTCCTTCTGTAGGTTACCGTGACCTGACTGATACCAATGGCCTGGTTTTAAGCCTGGACAGAGGCTATGGTAAAAGGCAGCACTGTACATTGGATTGTCCTACCCTCCAGAGCCCGGGTGGGGGAGCGGGAAACTGAACTGGTCAGCGGGTTAGGGCTGTATGTTGAATGGAGGAGAGGAAGGCTTGCAGGCACTCTCAGGTGAACGGTCAGAGTTTGGGGAAAGCTCGCAGGATGGTCCTCACTGTCCAGATGAGGAGACTGAAAACACTATGATCAGAAGCTGTGGTGAGTAAGACCCACTGACAACTTTAAATGCCCGCTCACTAGACTCCTGTCAGATAGGCAGGATTGATCCCAGAGATAGTAGGAACTGCAGATGCTGGAGAATCCGAGACAACAAGGTGCAGGGCTGGATGAACACAGCAGGTCAAACAGCATCATAGGAGCAGAGAGGCTGACGTTTCGGGCCTAGACCCTTCATCAGAAAAGGGGGAGGGGAAGGGGGTTCTGAAATAAATAGGGAGAGAGTGGGAGGCGGATAGAAGAGGGATAGAAGAGAGGATAGGTGGAGAGGAAACAAACAGGTCGAAGAGGCGGTGCTCCTATGATGCTGCTTGGCCTGCTGTGTTCATCCAGCCCTGCACCTTGTTGTCCAGGATTGATCCCAGTTCCGTTATTGCTGTTACACGTACAATACATATATGATCCCTACTCCTGAGGTCAGGCTTGAACTTAACTGAGATCGTACCTTTATCACGGGGTCAGGACCCTGATACTTTCCCAGAGATCTGGTCTCAAGATATACAGTAGGCCATTTACGATTAAGATGAGGAAAAAATTTCTTCATGCAGAGGGTTGCAAACTTGGGAGTTCAAGTCACTGACTATATCAAGAAGGAGACAAATAGATTTCTATATTCTAAAGGCATTAAGAGGAATGGAGAGAGATGAGGAGTACAATGTTGAGGTAGGGGATCAGCCATGATCATATTGAGTGGCAGAGCAGGTTTGATAGGCTGAATAACCTCCTCCAGTCCAAATTTCTATGTTTCCATCCTGCGTCTTGTTCCCACACTGTTAGGAATCTGGCAGAGGACCACGTCACCGATAGAACTACATCCATAGAAAATACTGGCACCTTTAGGAGACGGATGGGTGTGGTGGGGGGGCGGGGGGAGTTAAATCCTTGTGTAGCCTCATCCCCTACCCTCACCCACCTTACTTGGATAACCTTTGTAATCCTATATCCCTCTGAGATATCTGCACTCCTCCAATTCTGGCCACTCCATTAACCCTAATTTTCTATTTATATCTGTGCCTACAGCTGCCTATGCTCTGGAGTTGCCTCCCTAAATCGCTCCTATTCTCTAAGTCTTACTCTATTCCTTTAAAATGACCCTTGGAACCCACCTCTACAAACAGGCTTTTGGTCTCCGGTCCTTGTTCCACCTGTTGCGGCTCAGCAGTAAATCTTGATGAATAATTTATTTCCCATGAAATGCCTTGGGATGTTTCTACCTCGTTAAAGGTGCCATATAAATGCAAGTTGCTGTTGTCATATCCCTTCCAATTAAGTGACTGCTCCATCCTTCATGACTGAGGGAGTCATCAGCCACTGTGGAATGAACCACCGTGAAGTTGGGGGACTGTAACCCAATTTTGTTTCTTGCTCTCTTCATTTCAGAACAAGGTGAGGCTACACTGGATCAGTTTAGTACAGGCTAAGGATCACCCCAAGGTTTATTCCCAATTCACTTCACCTTAGGGTAGCCCCGTTACCAAGTGAGCCATCAGCAGAATGGAATCTATCACCAAGAGGAGTTTGAGTTAGCACAGGCAATCCAAACAGCTTTCTCAACCCCATTACCCAGAGGCTGCAGCAAGGAGTTCACGATAATCTTTTGCCTGACTCAGCACTGACCTGTTGTCAGGATTAGAGTTCATCCCTGGAGGAAGAGCTAATGGACTGGCGCGAGGTCCCGCCTTGCGAGTCCTTTAGTGTCTTTTGTGAGCCGCTCCAATCCGTTTTCACGGAGTCATCGTCCCAGATGGTGGAGGTTTCGGTGTCACTGTGCCAGGCAGGGTCTCCAGTATAGTGAGTGGGAAACACCAACAACGGATGGACAGAAAACGCCTTCAGGTCTCGTTTGGGGTAAACTTTCTTATATTCCTCACTGTTGGAGATAACAAGATACACCGCATGTCAGAGATGCATCCATGTATGTGTTATCTAGAATACGCTGACTGAAAAGGTGGGAACAGATTCATTAGCAAGTTTCAACAGTTTATTGGATAGATACCCCATCCCAGGGCAAGAACAGGGGATGAATTATTGGATTGCTCTTTCAAAGAGGTGACACAGAATAGGCTCCTTCTGTTGTGTTGTTCTATGCTTCTTGTTTCTTGCTTTCCTCTCTAGAAATCACTACTGGAGGGGGCTTGGAGAGGTGGTCCCCCACTTCTGAACAAAGCAGCCTTTCACTTGCTGGAAAATCGGTGCCATGCGAGTGACAGATCCCAGGTTGACTGTGCAATGGAGGAGGCTCAGGAAGATTCTCAGCTGAGCCTAAATCCTTCCACACAACCATGGCCTCAGTCACTGAACCCTCCACACTCAGGCAGAATGCATGGCAATGATTCAAACATCAGACAGAAAAAAAACATTTCAATCCCCAGTCCAGCAGTTCTGAGATAAATCTTAACATTTCCATTCCATTATAGTAGTTTTGCAGCACCATACAGTACTGCACCAATGTCCCAACACTAACCCTGTCCTATACAGTACCAAAGCCCCAATATTGCAACAATGTCCAACACCACAACACTGTACCATACCAACTCCCCAAAACACTACAATACTGTATTAAACTGCACCAATACCTCAACACTGCAACAATGTCCAATACTGCAATGCTGTACTATACTAATGACCTGACATTGCAACAATGTCCAATGCCCCAACACTGTACTGTACTGCACCAATGCCCCAACACTGTACTGCACTGCACCAATGCCCCAACACTGTACTGTACTGCACCAATGTCCCAACACCTGTACTGTACTGCACCAATGCCCCAACACTGTACTGCACTGCACCAATGTCCCAACACCTGTACTGTACTGCACCAATGTCCCAACACCTGTACTGTGCTGCACCAATGCCCTAACACTGTACTATACCACACCAATGTCTCAACATTGCAACATTGTCCTATCCTTGCTGATACTCCAACACTGCAACACCATGCTAAACTCTACAATGCTCCTACATTGTAACAGAGTCCTATACAGTACCCACGCCCCAACGCTGCAACTCTATGCACACTCTACTAATACTCCAATATTGCAAATATCCCAACACCGTCCTATACTGTACCACTGCGCCAACATTGCCCTGTCCTACTATTATACCAATGCCTCAAACTACAAAAGCCCCCCAATAATGGAAGAGAGTCCCAATTCTGCCATACAGTCTTAACATTGCAACAGTTTCCTACACTGCAATAGTGAGCACAAATTAATGTCATTCATTGGCTGTGCAACTCTGGGGTTGCCTGAGGTTGTGAAAGGTATTCTGTAAATCCCTCTTCTACCTCCCTTGAAATGGGCAGGCCAGCTGAGTTGATCTCCAGGCTGCTGAGTAAGATTAAGAGTTCGTTTATCCACAACAGTGGGTGATACATTTACAAAACAGACCTTGGAGCTGAGCTCAGGAACATTAAAACACCAAAGCAATCGTTACATTTCAGTATTTTGATCATTTACTGATGTCACAATTCTGGTTTATGTCCAACAATAACACAAAACCAGAATGTTCCAGGCCACTTTTTTTTTTGACCGGGTTTCTACACAGTGCCAAGTCTGCACAAAAACAGGATCAAGCAAAAGGGTTAACAGTAAGACATTACATCACTCCACTTTTAACAAAGAAACCTTCTACCATGTTAAAGCCAAACTGTGTAATTTTCACTGGTTCATTTCCAAGTGTTAGTTTGTGTCCCTCAGTGGCAGCTATAATTTATGATCACTTTAAATATTGACCACACTGAATCAGAAGGATAATAGCCGAAACATTGACTGCTCCTTTCCTCCTGATGCTGCCTGGCCTTCTGTGTTCTTCCAGCCTCCTGTTTGTCTATCTTGCAATGGAACTATATCACAAAGATGAACACAGCTGTTTCACCTCTCACAAGGTTGACAAAAGACTTGCATTATATGTCCTTCATGACCATCAGGCATCTTAAAGTGCATCACAGCCAATGTAAGACTTTTGAAATGCAGTTGCTACAGGAAGGTAGGACACGTGCAGCCAACTTGTGCACAGCAAGCTCCCATAAACAACAAACATGATAACGAACTGCATTGTGGGTGTCCCTATACACCAGTGGTTCAAGAAAGCTGCTAACTACCACCTTCTCCAGGGCAATTAGGGCTGGCTTAATCAACAACACCACATCCCATGAACAAATCTATTGAACAGAAACTGCTTCAGGGGTGTTGATTCAGGAGTAAATATTGGCCAGGCTATCAAGAATACGTGCATTGTTTTCCTTTGAGATAATGTTATGATTCCTTTTACAGCCACATAAACAGGCAGACTGGATCTTGGTTTCACATCTATGCAGGAAGGCAGCACCTCTGACAGTGGAGCACCCCCTCAGTACTGCATTGGAATGTCAGCATTGATTTTGATTTATTTGTGCTTAAGTTGTGGAGTGGGACAAGGCATTCCTGTAAAGATTCAATGTTTGTTGCCCACTTGAAGTCGTCGTGTTTTGAAGTTGTGCAGTTTTTAGGGCTGGAAACACTGTTTTGTGTCTCAAGCTCTGACTTTGTGCCACAGTCACCGCTGTTGAGGGTACGCAGGACTTTTGGGCTGTTTTGCCTGGCTCAAGATTGGGTCCCATCACCTGACCGGCATCATTCTGAATCACATGGAAGGACAAATGTTTGATTGCACTCAACAAGTTGGCAATTCTCTCCCCCCAAAATGCTCGGAAACAAACTGATCCAAGCAGAACATCCAAACAAACAGGAACTTGTTTGAAAAGAAGAAGCGGAGACCTGAGCTAACACAGTAAATGCTGGAGAAACTCAGCCAATGTGCGGAGAGTGAAGCAGAATTAATATTTTTCTTTAATAAAAACTAAAAGGACTGCAGATGCTGTAAATCAGGAACAAAAACAGAAGTTGCTGGAAAAGCCCAGCAGGTCTGGCAGCATCTATGAAGAAAAAAATCAGAGTTAACATTTCGGGTAACCCTTCCTCAGAACTCTGAGCTTTTTCAGTGACTTCTGTTTTTGTTCCTAATATTTTTCTTTGATTGAGTCTTGAGCCACTGCCTCCTGTGAAGAGGAGGCTACCAAAAGTTCCACTCAACTCAATACCTTCAGGAGAGGTCCATGTTTGGTGTGGGGTAGTCAATCTGCTTCCATAGGGGGTCTCGCTCTAGTATCTCACTCAAGCGGCCATTTTTCACGGTCTCTTGCTCAATCTGGTGCATTGCTAGCTAGTGTTCAGAGTCAAACGTGGCATTTATGCAGACTGGGGGATAACGTGTCCAAACATCGAATATTTGTTAAGAGTTCTGTGCAGTAAAAATGATGGAGCTGGGAAACATAAATTAGGATACCGTTGACACAAGACTCTTATGGACTTGACAGGATAGATGTGGAAATGTTATTTCCCCTGTGGGAGAATCTAGGACCAGAGGGCATAATCTCCAAGTAAGGAGTCACCCTGTCTGAATAGTAATGAACAGGAATTTCCTCTTTCAGAGGATCAGAGCATCAGTGGAATTCTTTATTGTACAGAACTGTTCTGCCTGGGTCATTAAGAATATTAAAGGCTGAAATAGATTTTTAATTAGTGAGGGAATCAAAGATTATGGGAAAAAGCAGGAACATGGAATTGGGGATTATCAGATCAGTGATGACCACATTGAATAATGAAGCAGACTCCATGCCCCCACTCCAACAGTTTAATGGATGGAATTAGAGCAACAAAAGTTGATACAATTTGCCATTACAAGTACACACTGGAAATTAGGGATGTTTTAAGAAGGAATATGGACAGGTAATTGAGGTGGATGATGTTGGGACATTGTGTGGGACTTGAGTTAACAAACTCTTTGAGCTGGAAGTATCTCTGATTGGAGAAACGTTGACAGCAAAGCACACCGAAGAATTTACAGCAACTTTATATAGAGTGACAGATCCGGTAGGATTGGTTTGAAATTCCATGACATGAAAACGAATGGCTCAGTCACAACAGCGCAGGGACATCTTCACAGAACAGAAGACAGGCGAACACCCAAGGATTTCCTTCATGGTGAGTTAACTGTCGCCAGGAGACCAGTTGGATGCCCAAAGGTCCAGCTCCAAGAATTCCAGAAGGACATGAAAACCCCAGGAACTAGGGAACCACTAGTTGACAATAGAGGAGCAGTGGTAATATCAGCCGTGGGACGGCCTGTGTCACCATAATCATCAGTAGCTACAGAGGCGTGCCAACTGACGCCAGCTCCAAAAATATCCACACACAATGATACCTGATTATCACTTCATGAGTGGCAGACCCTGTCCCTCATGGGTTTGGCATCTCTGCAGTCATCAGCAAAAAGTGCAACTCATGAAGCTACCCCATCCCAAAGACTTTGATTTGCTGCTTGCCCATCATCAGACGTGGCCAGAGGCTACTGTCGCCTTTGCCAGATATCTGTACATGAGCAGTATTGGACAAGACACCCCAATAGGAAGAGACGTGGAATTTTATGCATCCATCCAATATCGCAGACGCTCCTCAACTGATTCCTGAGGAGTTGGAAACAGTTCTGGGCCAAACAGAGAACTTACAAACACAGATGAAAGAGCAGACAGGCCTGGTCTGGAGAATTTCTCCATTGCTGTGCACTTCTCATTCACCAGAGCATCTACCGCCATCCTGGCCGTTCCTAACATGTTGATGGCTTGTTCAGAATTCAAAAGGTTGATTTTCTGGGCAGCTTTTCTTTTTCGAAGGAAATCTGTAATTTGTGCTCCATGCCAAGAAAAACTCAATAAGAGAAAATTCAAAGTCTGGATGTGATCATTTGTCTGGAGATTGGGCCAACTCAGGCTGTCGAGATGATTGAGTGGAACTCTCTGATATAGCCGTATTAGACAGGAGTCTCACC